AACCTCGATGTGAGCGAGTATCTTCAACGGGCCGAAGAAGCCCGACAACTTGCACGTCTCCGTATCAAGAATCAACAGACGACCGACAGCCACCGTTACAACCTTCGACGACGCTTCGTGGAATACCAGCCCGGTGAACGTGTTTGGGTGTGGACGCCGATACGCCGACGTGGACTAAGTGAAAAGCATCTGCGACGGTACTTCGGACCGTACAGGGTGGTTCGACGTCTCGGCCCACTTGATTACGAGGTTGTCCCCGACGGCATCACGAACTCTCAACGACGCCGATCGCGACCTGAAGTCGTGCATGTCGCGCGCCTCAAGCCGTTTCATGCGCGTTAACAAACTGAAACAGTGTTTTTCTGTATTATTGTTGTATCGTGTTCATTGTACTTTCTTTCATTATTATTGTACCTTCAGCTTTAGTTAAAGCATCGGGACGATGCCTTTTTTTCAGAGGGGGGCAATGCCACGTTCCATTTCCCAAGTTTTTGTTATCGTCCCAAAACACCACACGATTCTCAGCGCAAACCGCGCCTGCAGTTTTCGAGAAGGTTCTGGACTGTAGTAGATCATTTCGATAAGATCACGCCCACTGTGCGAGTGGTACAGATTGTTCTGGAACCTGCGCCACCGCCAGCGATAACGCTAGAATATTCGACGGCAAGAGTATAAATGCCGACGCGCTTCGCCGCTTGTCAGTTGTTGATCGAAGGCCGACGCTCCGTTCGCCGCTATCAGTCCGAGACTGCTATTTGTGCGAGACTGCTGCTGTAATTGAACTTTCCTTTTACCGGGCACAGGTTCGCCCAAATAAAAACAGTTATATCCCAACACGAAGTCTCCTGTCTTCGGCCACGTCACGACCCCGTGACACAATACACTCCGACGCGACGTTGGCACGCGTGCACGCTGGGCACAGCAACGCTGCGCAAGCAACGCGAGCACTCTATGGATGGACGCCAGGCGCGACCGGCGCGACCAGCGTTTGTCAGCGTGGCCAGGCGGCAACTGGCGCAAAATGGGACATAGTGCATTTCCGGCCGATGACGTTACCCAGACAACACTGCGTCTGCCTCTCTTCGTGACAGAGAAACGCCCAACGTGCTCACACGTGCATGTATCTAAGCAACGCAGCGCGACGCATGCCTGCGAGTAAATAACAGGCAAATCGACGTCTGGCGTGGCATCGCCGTCGTGACGCGACGAAACGAACGTTGGCGCGCACGCGCGCCATGTCACGTCGAAGTGTATTGTTGCCTTGAGTGAGGCATGTAGTCATGTTCTTACATGACACACATCTCATGTTTATCTTGTTCGCACCAGTTACATACCTTCGTCATCAATTCACGTCGCGTAATACTATACTTGGTATACGTGAAGCTAGCGAAACGGACGCGAGCGCACCATCAGCGTGGCATGTAGTCATGTTGTTACATGACACGCACTTGATGATTATCATATTTGCACAGTCACATACCTCCGTAATTCCTTCTCGTTTCGTAATACCTAATTTGGTATAAGTGAAGCTAGCGAAAGGACCACGAGCGCATCACGAGTGTGGCAAGTAGCCATGTTCTAACATGACGCGCATGTCATGACTATCATGTGTGCACCAGTCATATACCTTAGTCATGCATTCGCTTACCGTAATACCATAATTGGTGTATATGAAGCCAGCGAAACGACCGCAAGCGCACCATGAGCGTGGCATGTAGTCATGATTCATGACTTACATGACATACATGTAATGATTTCTACGTTAGGGTCTGCCGCTTGCGTTCGCCCTGCAGTGATGTCATACCATACCTGTTTTACAACATGTCATGTGAAAGAAACCATCGCAAGAGCTGACAGAGCATGAAATGTAAATCATGACTTGCATGACATCCATGTCATGATTTTCATAGTACGAATAGCGAAATATGTTCTTCTTACAGTCATGTCATGCCATACCAAGTTTGGTATTGATACCAATATTGAAACAGCCAGGAGAGCTAAAAGTCGTAAGTGGATAGATAGATAGATAGATAGATAGATAGATAGATAGATAGATAGATAGATAGATAGTGTAAAGGAAAACTACCGATCGGCGAAGAAACCAGACCGAACGCGGTTTCTCGTTTTCAACTTCTTCTTCTTCTTTCTTGCAGTACTAGCCTGCACCCGTTTATTCCTTTTCTTTTCCAACATACTCCCGCCCCCCAGTAGCGTCGCTCAATTTCAGTCGGTACAATGTCTGCACTGGTTTATCGGTTTGTACTGGCTAGGTTCTGGAGGCCAACCTGATTTTTGCTGGGACAACCATTCAGGTTCATACCACCAATAGCCACATGCACGTAGAGTCCTTATCGGTATGCCTCTAGTCAGTACATCCACCGGGTTGTTTTCGCCAGGGCAGTAGCGCCATAGCGCTGTTTCCGTAACTTGCGTTTTTTCAGTCACTCTGTGCTTTACAAACTGACTCCACTTGCTATGGTTTCCGCGGATCCAGCTGAGTGTGATCATGGAGTCAGTCCACATGACGCAATGGAAATGCTTGAAATCCCACGAGGAGCAATTGTATTTTAGCAATCTGGCTCCCACTACCATGGCCATAAGCTCGAGCTTTGAAAGCCTTAATGTCTTAATGGGTGCCACTCTTGACTCCGCTACTATCAGAGAGGTAGCGGAGTTTCCACCTTCATCAAATGCTCTCAAATAGGCACATGCTCCATATATTCGTCGACGCCAGCCTGAAGGCTGGCGTCGACGAATATATGCAGTTCAGACTCTTTAGGTGCTCCATGCCGTCCATCTCTCACGCAACGCGGAATCTTTATGTGGCCGAGCTGTACTGCATCTGCACACCAGGTCGCCCACTGCGTCTTGATCTCCGCGGGCAATTCATTATCCCAGGAATGGCCTAAAACCCAAAGGCGTTGAAACAAAAGCTTCGCAGTAAGGGTGAATGGCGATAGAATATGCCAAATGGGTCATAAATTGGAGAAACAACCTTCAATAGGGTACATTTCGTGTCGAGCTGGCCAGCCACTAAATACTGGGCCACCGACTTGGAAGAAAACTTGAAGTAATCATTTTCTATAGCCCATTGCATTCCCAAGACTGCAGCTGCTTCTCCGGAAGCTCCTTCTACTTGCTCCTCCTGGTTGTCAAAAATGTTCTGCAGCTGATAGTCATTGGTCTTCCACTTTCTGAGCTTCCTACCAACATCTTTCATAATTTCTTTCGACTGCTCATAGATGCGCCAACCTTCATGGAATGTCTCTGCACTCACCAATAAATCGTCGACGTAAAATGCCTTCTTTAATGTAGAAGCGAGCTCTTTATCTTTACATGCGTTATCTGAATGGCAGTGAATAGTTGCCATGAGCAAGAAAGGGCTTGACGTTGATCGAAACGGTACCCGTGTCATGCGCCATTCGATGAGCTTACGGTGTTGGCTTGCGGAAATAGAGTCAAACCAGAAAAACCGGAATGCATCTCGGTCAGTCTCATGTATCTTAATTTGTAAGACTGCCTTTTTGATGTCGGAATTGATGGCGACAGGGTACCGCCGAAAGCGAAGAAGGACTTGCAGCAATTCTGGATTGAGGTTCACTCCTTTATCCAAGCAGTCGTTAAGGGATGGTACACCTTGGGTGTGTGACGATGCGTCGAACACTACACGCAGTTTGGTAGTTAACGATTCCTTTATTATTACTTTCTGATGTGGCATATATTATATGATGTGATCTCGATCCCGAGGAGTATCCTTAGGAACCACTTCCACGTGACCCAACTCCAGATATTGCCGGATAACTCTGTCATATCGCTGCAACATTCCTTTCATCGTTGATAGCCTCCGTGTTAATATTTGTAGACGTGATAGCGGAATTTACCGGTTGTTCCCTAGAAGTGGTTTCTTATCTTCCTTCCAAGGCAACGCCACAGTGTATCTGTCGCTTTTCTTGCTAATGGTTTCATGTAATCATGCAACGGACTCATGGGAGGAAGGTTCCGTTGAATCTGCGATGCCCATTGCTTCTGGTTGCCAAAAAGATTGCAAGGTCTGCGAGGTTGATTCGCCATCAACAATTGCTTGTACTTTCAGAATGCAGATCATTAGGCTAGATCTGCAGTCAAGAAAGGCTTTTTGGTGACTGGGTCCTTGTAGCGTCAATCTGAAAGCTGTATCTATTGCTACCAGTCCTGGAACTTCCGGAATTTTGACGATGCGTCCCGACATGATTTGCCAGAGGTGGTCAGCACCGATCAACAAGCCGAGGCTATTTTCCGTTTCCGCATCAAACTTTTTTTCGTCCGAATTGACCTTGCCTTCAAGACGCAGGTTCTGAATGAAATGGCTGTCAGCTTTCGGGGAAGCGATATCGCGGCAGATAACTGGAACAACGATTGCGTGCACCGTGCAGGTGTCAGAACCGTGCTGGCTACGCAGAGGAACTTTCAGCACTTAAAGTCTTTCTACAGTACTTGGTGATGAACAGCCAAACGTATTCAGCGCAATTTGTGTTTCTCCCAGCACCTGTAGGTGTAATGTCTTGGCGAGATCTTCCGTGACGAAGGATCGCTGGCTCCCTCCGTCAAGAATCCCTCGGACATACCTTGTTTTGCCGTTTTTGATGACAAAGGCGCGAAATGTTTGTAGATATACTTCACTGTGATTTGTTGTGCCCCCGCTCAGTGAATCCTTCTCACACAGCATAACTGATTGTGACGACACCATTCCTACTGTGCTGCCGGAGGAGTCAACTGGACGAGAAGGTGTTGCTGTTTGGTTCGATGTGTAGTGCGGGTCGCACATACTTGATGCGTGCCTCCCGTGGCAACTCGAGCAGGTGAGTTGGACGGCAAAAACGTGCCTGATGTCCTCGGGACGTGCATCAATAGCAGCGGTTGTCTTTCGCAAGCATTCCTTTCTTCGAATCGATGGCAAGGTTCGCGTCACAAGCGCGGGTGCCTTGTTTCTTCGACTTGCAGACAAAAAAAAAACACTCACCTCAGCTGTCCGATGTGCTGTGTAGTACGGAAGCCGTGTTGGTGCTGCCGCTTCGAGTCCTCTGTGCACGGTCATTCAGCAGTTGGTCATTGAAGTGCTTGCACTGCTCCCGACTTTCTAGCTTTATACGTGTATAGGTGAGCAGCTCCTTTAACTCCGCATCAGATGTAGCAGCTGCCACGCTTGGCTCAAAGACATTGGCAGCAGGGCCATTTTCTCTTAGTGCCCGACTGCGCTCTGCACGTGTGTAGGCCAAAGTGATGTCGTACGGTAGGGCTTCCTGTAAAATGTCAATCAGCATAGCGGAAAAGCTAAGCGTAGGAACATTTAGTGCAGTTAGACAACAGATATTCAGCTGCACGGCATCGTAAAGTCGCCTAAGGCCGCGGACGTCGCTTCCCGACTTGTTGTGAGGTAGATTGCGAAGCGCTGATAGGTGGTGTTGCTCGATCCATTTTCGATCTCCGAAGCGTTCCTTCAATAACTCGATGGCGTCTGCATAACAGGCTTTGGAAGTCGGAAAACCACATATCGCAGCTGCCGCTTCACCGGCAAGATAATGACGTATATAGAAGAACTTCGTCGTTGTTGACAAAGGGTTGTTCAGGTGAACGGTTTGCTCAAACTGCTCCCAAAAAGCCGGCCATTCATGTATTAACCTCTAAATGTTGGCATGCCAAGGTTCGGCAGCGTTGGGCGAATTGCGGTCGGCACGTCAAAAGGTGATGTGTTTGCGTTCTGAGGAGCAGCCGCTGCTGTACTGTCTCCATGTCGCAAACCGTCTATCTTGCAGCGAATCTCAGCGAGCATGCTTATAGCTTTGTCGTTATACTCTGCTGCCGCGACATACTCAGCTTCGAGCTCCTCGTCCGCTACGCGCTTCTCGAGCACATCATTGATCTTCGAAAGCTCGTTGTTGCTCGCTGACAAACGGTCATAAATACCTGTGAAATTGGGCTTGTCCGCGGTAGGGTCACTTAGCAGTGACCTTGCTTCTTGCAGGAGCTTGGTGTTCTGGGCTCGTCGAGTGGAGTGCTTGGTCTTGAGGAGATCCATCGGATCCGGTGTTGGAGTCTAGTCCGGTCTACGCCGATCAGGAACGATTCGTTGCAGTCCTCGCCGCCCGCAAAACGACGCGGTCAAGTAGAAGGTCCCCTCGAGTTGTGTGATGAAGGAGACGTGTCCGCACGAGGGTTTCGGCACCACGATGTGAAGGAAAACTACCGATCGGCGAAGAAACCAGACCGAACGCCGTTACTCGTTTTCAACTTCTTCTTCTTTCTTGCAGTACAAGTCTACACCCGTTTATTCCTTTTCTTTTCCAACAGATAGATAGATAGATAGATAAATAGATAGATAGATAGATAGATGGATAGATAGATAGATAGATAGATAGATAGATAGATAGATAGATAGATAGATAGATAGATAGATAGATAGATAGATAGGCAGGCTTGATGTCGCCGAAGCTCGCTAAGAAATGCTTCGCATTCAAAAAGCACCCATGTCATAGCTGTGACCTCGAGCCGACTGTTACGTTGTTAAGCAGCTCCGAGTTATTTTTGTTTTTAAGCTTGTTTTTTGTTAGCTGTTGACTGGGGGCTAGAACTGTTCATTGGGTTCCCTGTAGCAAGGATTGAGACCTGCCTCTCTCAAGATATCTATCGTGCCACAATTTTGATTGCTGAACTGACATATACAGTCTTACAGTAAAAAAAACACCCTCGGGCCTGGTTGATCATCTATAAAAACACCTTGCTGAAACATCCCATTGAAGCATTCATTCCCGTTATGAGTTTTCCTGCAGACATGTGGCCAAAACAGAACTCTGCATACTCACTTTTATCTTCGTTCAGTTGTCTTTGTGAGAACTCCCCTGTTCTGGCATAGCACTTTTTGCAAAGCTCTGATTCGGTTGTAGCCAAATCAACCTTTTATATTTTGCGTGTATGAATTTTTTTCACTTATAACCTATTTGTTCTTGTACTCCGTAAGAAAGCAATGTGGAACACTGAAGCCACCAAGAAACAGCTTCGTGCAATAAGTTGCTGCAGAATAAACACTATCACATCATGTCCCCCACATGAAAACTAGCCTGATTAGGAAGAAAAATTGACTGTAATTGTCATATCTTAATTTTTTAGGCTTTAGCATACTTCTGTACCATCTAATCTAAATATCTCCAGCGAATATGAGTGTCATGGTAAGTTTGTTCTATTGTTGAAAACGTAGGTCTTGTTTTCAGGAAGTATCAGTTCCGGTTTCAGGAAGGTCTATCAGTATTTGTAAAAACTTACTCAATGTTAGAAGGAAACCACATAAAAAAGTCATTTTGACAGCAGCATCAGTGTAAATATCTGCATATTTTTTAAGTTGAGAAGTGAAGTTGGCTTTTCTAAAAAAAAACTTGTTTTCAAGGGTTCCAACATAGTGTTACGTTTAGTAATATGTTTATTACGCTGTGGCGTACTGGTAGACTTAAAGGGGTCGTGCACCGGAGGCCTATCTCGCTAGCCAAACGTCCTCTTCTATAATCTGCCTGTTCCCAGCTACCTAGAAGCTCATACCCAAATCACATATGCATAACATTTTCCTCCTCGCAGACGAAGCCCACCGGGCGAGTTAAAGAGTCTCTCAGGGAATATAGCGCTTCAAACGTTTCATATGGACAAGTTCAGTCTTTGCAGGTCGTCGGCCATTTGAATGACGACGTGCTACGCAGTAAGTTACATCGCTTATGCGGTCTAGAACAACATAAGGTCCCGCTTAGTGTGCCAGCAATTTTTCACACAACCCACGTTTCCTATTTGGCGTCCACAGCAACACGTGGTCTCCACGATTATACGTCACGTGTCGACGTTGACGATCAAAACGTGTCTTCGAGCGATCTTGCGAAGAGAGGGTGCGCAGGTAAGCAAGACGTCGGGCTTCTTCTGCACGGCTTACGATCTTGGATATACCGGAATCACGGTGGTCCATTAACGGGAAGGTGGTATCTAGGTTATGACGAGGTTGCCGAGCATAAAGAAGAAAAAACTGACTGTAGCTGGTAGCCTCATGCTGTGCGGTGTTAAATGTATAAGTGATGAAAGGTAGCACCCCATTCCAGTTCTTGTGATCGGCTGCGACATACACAGAAAGCATGTTCGTGAGAGTCCTGTTAGTTCGATCCGTCAGCCGTTTGTTTGGGGTTGATATGGCGTAGAGGGCCGAAAGCTTGAAGCACATAGACGAAGCATCTCTTCCACCACGTCTGAAGTAAATTGTCGCCCACGACCACTGATAACTTCAGGAGGTCCATGTCATAGAACTACAAAACGCAGCATGAATAAACACACGTCACTTGCAGTTGCCGATGGTATCGCAGCTGTCTCACAGTACCGTGTTAAGTGATCGGTACATACGAGTATCCAGCTAAGCGTATTATGATCTGTCCTGATGGTAAAGGGGCGTCCGTACAGGTAGGACCGGAAGCGCTGCGCTGCGAAGACTAAGGCGAGGCATTCTTGCTCTGTGATAGTATACTTAAGCTCGGACTTGGTTAGTGAGCGACTTGCAGACGCAACGACATGTTATTTTGCATCCAAGCGTTGAACCAACACGGCGCCTACAGCAACACCGCTAGCGTCTGTGTGAAGTTCTCTGGGAGCCAGAGGATCGAAGTGACGAAGAATTGGATGGGATGTTAAAATAAACTTCAACTCAGAAAAAGCGGACGTACATTCCATAGTCCAGTCAAATGGCAGGCCTTTCTGAAGCAGGCACGTGAGTGGGTGCGCGATATTGGCAAATCCAGGGATGAATCAACATCAACGGAAGTATGAGTAGAGGCCCAAACAGCTGTGTAGTTCTTTCAGTGAGTGAGGTTTCTTGAACGCCTCCACTGCAGCCGTTTCCGCGGGATCCGGCCGTGTGCCTTCATTGTTCACCAAGTGTCCAAGAACGAGTGTTTGGCGCTCTCTGAAACGACATTTCTTTGAGTTGAGCACCAAGCGTGCTTTGCTTAGGCAGTTCAGCACGAGGTCGAGGCGTGTGTTGTGCCCACATAAAGTGCACCCAAAAATCACAACATCATCCAGATAAAACATGCATACTTCCAACTTCAAACCGCTCAGAATGTTGGCTATGAAGCGCTCGAAAGTTGCAGGCGCATTGCATAGTCCGAATGGCATCACATTGAATTCCAAAAGTCCATCTGGTGTGACAAATGCCGTTTTCTTTTTATCTTCCTCGTACATTGGAATCTGCCAATACCCTGACCTCAAATCAACAGACGAAAAGTAGGAGGCTGATGAAAGACAGTCTATAGCATCATTAATACGTGGTAGTGGGTACACGTCCTTTTTTGTGATGGCGTTGAGACGGCGGTAGTCAATGCAAATTCACCATGTTCCACCCTACTTCTTGACCAATATTACGGGAGTGGCCCAAGGACTGCATGGTTTCTCACCAACCACTTCATTTCACCAACCATCATCTCACCAACCTGTTCATTTATCACTGCGCGTTCCGAAGGCGATAGCCGGTATGGCTTTTGCCGGAGAGGTCTATGGTATGCCGTATCTATGCGGTGCTTTACACGAGAAGCAGGGAATGAGAGTGGAGCCTGTAGGTGTGCGAAATCGAAAAGACCAGCATGTTTGCGCAGAGTACTCGCCAGGTCATTACACTCGTTGGTGCTAAGAGACTTGTCAATCATTGCCATTAAGGAGGTGTCCCTGGCGTGCAAATGATTGGAATCGGGCTTATCCGGATAATCAGTGCTCTCTGCAAGGATTGCAAAAAACACCTGATGTTGACGGATCTTAGCAAGTTGTAGACACTCTGGCAGTACCGAAGTTTCATTGGAGCCGTTGATCCTCCCAAACCAGTATGCCCTTGCATAACCGACAACGTACAATAGAGTATTAGAACATTTTCCTTCATGAAGCTGAGGTGAATGGGCTCTACGGGGGCACCAAATGTCATCTCGGTTGCAGGGGAACTGATGATGATGACAAATATGATGATGAAGATGCTTAAGATGATGATGATGATGATGAGCTTTTAGCTTCGCCGGCACTCACCCACAAAGGGGGTCGGTCAAGAACTGGGCGGCAGGATCATCAAGTGTGTTAGTTATAAGTCAGGCATTCAGGTAGTCTCGTAGCCGTAAATAATAATAACAATAGACTAACAAGGTAATCTTTTTGTTGCCATTATGTACGCACACACGGCAGAGTAAACCTCTCTGTGGCTGCTCGTGGCAAGAGCACCAAAAAGTGGTCCCTCGTCGTCGTC